GCCCCCCGCTCGGTCCGCACCTCTCCGGCAGCCCTCCGTCCTCCGCCCAGGTCCACTCCTAAAAACCCAGTTTGTAACTGGGCTTGGAGCGCGTAGCCTCGGCGCCGCATCCGTCGCACAATCTCCCTCGCATCGCCGCGGTGGGAGCAGACCGCGCAAGACCTAGGAGCAATCTGTTACTTCGCCTGTTTCAGCTCATCCGCAGCGCCAGCTAAACAATATGATAAGGATGTTACAATCATTTGCCTGGATCCAGCTAAACATTGCGAACGGTCGTCAATCCACAACCTATGAGAAACAGGCTGACGCGACCGACTGATTTTGGCCATCACAAAATGAGTCATACACTTCGCAAATCGGGCTCCAGATCTTAAGCCCTGAGTAATACTACATGTTGCCAGAAACGGCTCGCTGACGGCCCCCCCATTTGTTCGACAAGTCTGGGAACCATACATTGTGACAACTCTAAAAACAGGATGACCGGAGGGAACGATAACTTTAGTGCCGCGTCCGTCAAAATATCCCATTCAATATTATCATAGAAACCTTTTCACGTCCATGAGGCCGTGTCCGCGAGGTGCCCCTAGGGCCCCTGCAACCTCTAGCGATGCGTTGCCAGCGATGGCGGCGCCCCACTCCGCCTCCGCAAGATTGCACCACTGTCGGACATGACCCTCGCGAATGAGCGACCGCGCGCGGCGCAGGAACGACGCCAACCCGATCACACGGTCGCCATTCATCTTCTTCGGCAGCAACTTTCCGATGATGAGCTGGGTCTGGTGCGGCCACGCTAGCGCCCGCTCGATGGCGTTGAGCAACTCAGCCAACTCCGCCAGCGCCTCCGACGGCAACCTCTCCACATCGATCGGGGTCATCCGATCTGCTCCCAGACCAGCGTTGGCCTTCATCGCGTGTGCCGCCTTACGAACGTCCCACTCAGTGATGGGCCCCATTGACGCATTGGTTCCAATTCGGCTGCAGCCCGCGCAGCCTCGAAGGCCCGTTGCATGCGATCCCGATCAATTGGATGTGGCGCCCAGAGCTCCTGCCACCGCCGCGCCACGGCGTCGACGACGTCCCTGGGGTGGGCCGCGACGCCCGAGCCCTCAACCTCGAATAACTCCATGGGCGGCAGTGGGTCCTCTTTCATGCTGCGACGCAGAGGGCCCACTGCTGCTTGCTGTACTACCCACTCTTGAAACTCAGCCAATGACTCATGCACAACCCGCCGTTGGCCCCGCCGTGCGATCCGGCAAGCTTTGTTCCCGGTTGGAGTCCAGCACGGGGTCGGCGAGCGATGCTAAGTTGAGCAGCGCCGCGGCCCACTTCTTGTCCCCGGCGTCACGGCCAGGCCGAAGAAGATGATGTACTCCTGTCGGCCGAGCGTGCACGAGCTGGCGACAAATATGCTGAATGTTGTCTACTTCTCGAATCCCGTTCTTGCGTTGGCGATGCTTCAAGGCCTGGCCTAATACCGTGGCCACGCGCTTCCACCAGCAAGCCATTTGATCACGTAGCGGGGCCTGCCGTGACTTGGTGGACTGCCGAACCTCCTCAATAACAAATCTGCAACCTGTGCCGCGGCTGGGCCCAGATCGCTGCTCGATGCCGTGGTGTTCCAGAATTTTACTACTCGACACCACGGGCCCATGTGGAGTACCATGCGCTAACGAAAGGGACTGGCTCGGGATTGAGCCAAAACGCTACGGAGGAACGGAACAACGGGTGCATTGCTTCCTCCGTGCAGGTCTGAAAATAAATGGATGACCGATTCTTTCTCCAGCACTCCTGAGACACGTAAAATTCGGGCTCCGTGCGGAGAGAAGGATCATCCAGGGTCGCTCTTTCGAGCTGACGGGGCGCGCAATCGCTGAGGGGGGGACCGACTCTATCAGACAGCCGAATTTGGTCCTGATGTGCCAAGCTGCTACTCTGCGACTCAATCTGCACATGCGACGGCTCAACCTTTTCCTTCTCACCGACCGAAAGCCCATTGGAATCGATGGCGGGAGGTTGGCCTGGCTGAACAGACGGGCAGCAACTGATACTGAAATTGGGCTCGTGGCTCCAAGGATCTTCTTCCTCGGGCCACTCGTCGAAAAGAGACTCGTCATCAGACGGGGCTGCTGTGTCATCCTCCTGTCTACCCTGCACCATGCAATCACTGAACAACTCTGTGCAATACTTAGAGCGGCGCCCCGCGGCAGCGGCAGACTGGATGGCCCCCTCGGCTTTGGCAAGTGACGATTTGGACCCTTCCTGCGGCAGCGCTCGGGGCCGCATCACTTGGGGAAGGCGAGCGGGTGCCTCAAGACGGCGAGTGGCCAGCTGCTTGCCGCTGGTCCTGATCTTGAGGGTGATGCCCACATGTGGCCGCCATGGGGCATCCAATACAGCCTGACAATCCAGAATGTACGGCGCCATGGACTCCGACGTGACCGCATGAACAATGAGCGAGCCCTCGGCGCCCATGTCGCAGGTGGAGGCGACTGGGGGCGTCATGACCTGCCCATGCGCACGCATGAGAAAGCCCGACTTGTCGAGCTCAGACGGGTTGAGGCTCCAGTCCCCGACCGAGTAGTATCCATGGTAGTTGCAACATTTGCAAACCAGCTCCCAACCGCTGAAAACGAGCAAGGTTGCGCCCAGACATACCAATTAAACAGAACCCGTAGAACACGAACATGATGAAGGAGAAACCCTCGCAGTGGACGACTGACCCCACGATGCCATCCACAGCTGCAGACCCAGGAGCCTTGAGTGCTTTCGCCTGAAGATCACTCAGGCTGGTGACTTGGGGATGCTTCTTGGCGAAGATGATCTCGCCCCCCTCCGTTGCCGTCTCGGCCGTGGCTGCCGACCGATGCTGCACAGTAGGCCGTGCAGCGTTGGCTATCATCCGACGGTTGTGTTTGCGTGATACCTGCTCTCGCTTGCGCAAGCCCGACTCAGATACATGAGTCTTGGCACATCCTCACAGAGCATGATGATCACAGTGTTGTGTGAGATACGTCCACACCTGATCCCCTAAGGTAGTGACGCTGGCGTAAAAGATGGAGAGGCTCTTGAAGGTGTCCTGAACGTCCTCGAGCTTCTCCTGAGACAAAACTAGCGCCTGGCCGCCGACCATCGGCGTGCTGGGTTCGCGGCCAGGCGCAACATGTCAAGCCGACGCCGCGGCGGCACTGGCGCCCGAGGCGCCCGCCGCAGCCGCAGCCGCAGCCTCGGCAGCCGCGAACTTGGCCGCCGACAGCCTCGCCGCCTCGATCTTCACCTTGGCGTCCTTGGCAGCCTGCTCCTCGCGCGAGCGCTCCTCCGCCGCCTCCTGGCCAGCGGCCTCAGCGCTCCCGCCCTGGCTGGCGCCCGCGGCAGTCTGCGCCTTCGGCTCGGGGGGCGGCACCCTGCGCGGCGCCGTCGGCTCCCTTGCGCTTCTTGGCCATGCGCGAGGTGATGGCCTCGCGGACCTTCCCTGCCTTGGCCAGCCACCCCTTGACCTCACCCGGCTTGGTCGTGAATGCCGTCTTCATGGACATGAGCTGTTCGTGGATGGTCTTCAGCTCGTCCCTCTCGGACTCCTCCACCTCGAGCCCCTCGACGTCCTGGAAGATCGACTCATCCCAGGTGATCTCGAAGAGCTCGTTTGGCTTCTTCTCGCCCCCGAGGGCCTCGGGCGCCGCTGCAACCCCCTCCGCCCTGGCGAGCGACTCCACCGCGCCCTTCCGTGCGACCTCGGCTTTGGCCAGGACGACCGCCACGGTCGCCTCCTTGCCTTCTGCGGTGGCCAGCGCAGTGCGCAGCCTCTGCACGTTGGCAACCGCTTGGTCGTGCTTGTGATTGGCATCCCTCCAGGCCGGGTCGGCCTCGGTCAGCGTCGCCGCCGCGGACTGCGGGGGCGATGCCGCCTGCTCGAGCTCCGACAAGGACTCCACCTTCTGCTTGAGAAGCTTCCGCCGCTCCTCGTCCTGGGACATCTTCAGCGCCTCCATGAGGTGGTCCCGAACAGAATGAGGGTGTGCCCACGGCCTAGCCGTATCCTCAGTCTGCCACGCGGACACCTGCTGCTTCTGATGCGACTCGACGTAGTCGCTGAAATGCACTCTGCGTACACGTCGCTCCCGCGAGGCAGACCTCTCCAACTTGACGCCCTTGGACTGGTAGATGGTCACCTCATTGGCGCACTGAACGCACTTGTTGTCTAATTTGCCAAGGATGTCGTTCCACTCACACCTCTTGTATTGCCCGCATCGAGACCAACGACGGGGAGAAATTGACCTCGACGCCGAGCGTACCATGGCTTGAACTCCTGCTTTGGTCAGCCGAGAACGGCCCGATCTGGGGAGCGGGGCCTCGGTGTGCCTTACGCACCGCGCGCAGGTACAGGAGTCAGCTCAAGCAAGCTTGAGCCTAGGTGGCTTGAGAAGAGGAGGAGGAGGGGGAGGAGGAGGAGGAGGAGGAGGAAGGGAAGGAGGAGGAGGAGGAGGGCGAGGACGAGGTGGAGGAGGAGGACGAGGAGGAGGAGGGCGACGACGACGACGACGACGACGACGACTTCTCTTTTCTTGGGCAGGCTGTTAGGCGCCAGTCCGCCCGTGGTGTCAGTGAGCCTGCACGCCGCCACGTGCAAGCAACAGGCGGCGGAGCCTCATCTGGCGCGGCGGCGGCGAACGCTAAAGAGGTCGGAAGAAGAAGATGTGATGGTGGACGATAATCGGTCGCGAACCCAGGGGGGAAGGCAGAAAGAGCGGGCCTTCTTGGAAGGCTTGGAAGGCTTCCAGCCTTTCGTAGGAATGATCAAAGCCTTTTCGGGGGACAGAGGCGCCTTCTCAGAAGGCGGGGGGGTCTGAGATGCGGAGCCCGCCGCCTTCTGGCAAGGCCTGCCTCATCTCACTTCCCGCCAGGCGCGTCACCGTAAGAAGCAGATGTGATGGTGCACGATGGGGGCCCCCCGGACGACGGGTGCCCCCTCCCCCCAGAACACGGGGAGGGCAGCCCCCCGCCAGGACACCAGGACCCCAACGTCGGCGGACGACGCCGCGGACGCCGAGGCTGCCTACGAGCCGCGGGGGGAGGGGAGCAGAAAGCCAGCGAGCTGGCCGCGGAGGAGGAGGAGGAGGAGGAGGAGGAGGAGGAGGAGGAGGAGGAGGAGGAGGAGGAGGAGGAGGAGGAGGAGGAGTAGGAGGCGGGAGGAGGCGGAAGAGGCGGAGGAGTAATTATGAGGATTGAAGAGAAACAATCGGCATAATCATATACTTTCGACGGTCCGCGGGGATTTTGGGGTCAGCGCGGGGCCACCTTGGCGGCGCCTCCAGCGCCGCCTCGGGCGCGCTCCCGCGCCAGGGAGGGGGCTCCACGCGCCGGGGAGGGGCGGCCCAGCGCAGATCCAAGAAATCCGCGCGGACCGTCGAACGTTTATGTTTTATGTTTATGCCTTGTCTTCCTTCTCTCTCTATCTCTCTCTATATATCTATATAGGAGGAGGAGGAGGAGGAGGAGGAGGAGGAGGAGGTGGAGGAAGAGTATCGATGCGATCGAAAGGGGCACGGACATATAGGGGACGAAGAGCGGCAACGTATCTTGCTCATGTTGTGCAGGGCTAGCTGTCGGTGTCGTTGCGGACGTGATCTTGAGGCAAGAAGATTTCTGCCCACAGGTGGACGCTGTTGGTGTTTGGCACCATTTGTTGTTGGACATCGTGCCCATTTTTTTTGTGGCCACTTCGACCGTGCCAACGGAAAGGGAGTTACAGAAAGGGAGGCTACGAGATTTGTTGTGTGCTGCGTGCATCTGGTTTTGACCCCGCCGCCGGGAGGCGCCAGGAAAACCAGCCACGTGAAACCGTTTTCATATCCCCATATTCGTCGGACCCGTGAGGAGGAGGAGGGGGGGGTAGCTGGTTGAAACATGGGCGACCCGTACCTAGCCCCTTGAGGCTTCGCGTCGCAAAACAGGCGATGCGGGCAGCGCTGAGGATTCGGTCTCGTCGGAGCAGCTCAACGTCTCCGTGGTTCGGTTCTGCTCTGGTGCGGCGAGAGTGCGAAGATCTCGCAGCAAGAACATGGGATTCTGTTGATCTGTGCTTCTCCGGCCTGCCCTAAGGGTTTGAGCGCGGCCCGAGGGGCCCCAGATTTCGCCAAAGCTATCCGAGGTATGTCCCAAGGGGGAACCATAGCGGGCCTGGGCGGCCCCAAGATGGCCAAATTAGCCCTGAGATCGCCCAAGTTACTCCATGGACCTGCCCCGGGACCCTCCCTCCCGGCGGCGAAGGGATCAAAGGGAATGGGCGCCCCTTCGACTCGATGACGACCTGGGTCGATGTGCGCCTCGGGTTGGCAAGCTTGGAGAGCTTCAGGTGGCAGCAGGGGAAGGGGGGGGAGAGCCTCTGAGGACAGGGCCCCAGGGTGGCCGCGGGGATCTGAGAGCTTCGAGTGAGAGAAAATCCCGCTCACGCCGACAGGGTCGGCGGATTTGTCGTCCTTGTCCCTTCTCCGTCTCCTTCACCTCTTCCTCCGCATCCTCTCCCTCCTCCTACCCTCTTCCTCCCTGCCTCCTTTCCTCCCTCCCTCCCTCTCACCTTTCAGGTTTTGGCTGCTTGCGCCCCCAACAACTCCCCACACTCTTGGACTGACGCACGCTCCTACCTGCACAAGCGATGCAAGACATCTGTTTTCAAGCGTCCCCCCCTGCTCCAGAGATTGTCGACTCCTGGCTTGCTCGTGACGGCAGAGAGAAGTGGGACAAGAGCAGTGGTCAACCATGAAGGCCTTCGCTTTCTGGGGCCATCTCGGAGCGATTTGGGGACCCTTCTGGGAGTCTTGAGAGGGGGCTTTCTGGCCCTCTTGGGGCCATCGGAGAAGCAGTCGGTCAAACTAGGGGCGGGGGGGGTCCAACTCAGGTATTCGAGGATCTTCTGGACCTCTCTTGGGGCCCTCTTGGGCGATCTTGCGGCCGTCCTGGGGCCTCAGAAGTCCACCAGAAGCGAAAGGGCGAGACGCTCAACATCATTGGACACGTAGAAGTGCTGCTCACGCCTCGCGTCGCGCCGCGTGCTGCTCGCGCCTCGCGGCGGACGTCTCTGTGCTGGTCGACCCTGAGCGGCCGAGGGGCCATTTTGGGTGGTGTGTTTGTCCTTTGCGCGCACCGACTCCGTCACAGTTGGTTGTGAGTTCTGTGTGTGGTGGGGGGTCATCTTCGGCACCGCCTGATCCCCGGGCTTCGCCCTCTCCTGGCCGCGTGAGGCCCCGCCTTCTTTCGCCCTTTCTCTGTTAATTAAAGCTGTGCGCGTCCCGCTTAGCTTTTAGCGGAAGAGGTTCGCTCTCGCCCCGCAGATCAAAAACAGTGTGTGGTGGGGTGCAGGAGTTGTCCGCCAGCTCCTGCGCGTGCCATCGCAGGACAGCGCTCCCACATGCCGCTTGCGTGACTGCTCCTCCTCCTCCGTTCCCAAGGGCAGCATGATGTCACGTTGGCAGTGCCGGCCGGCTGGACGGCGAGTCCACTCAGGGCCCTCATGGTGTCGCTCGGTGCGAGCGCGCAGTAGCACACCCTCCTCCTCTCTTCCCGTGGTCCTCCCTCCTCCCTCCGCCCCCTCGCTCTTCTTAATTGGTGGTGCTGGGATGCTTGCCGCTTGCCAGCGCCGTGTGGCGTGCTTGAAGGCTGCTGTTGGCCAACGTCAGGTTTTGTCCTGGGCTTGCCCGTCCGCCTCCCTTGATCGCGCGACGCTTTGCGCTCTCACCACCGATGGGTGGGCTCTACCCGCCTCTCGTATGGTCGATTCTCAGCTTCAGTCTACACACAAGTGTGCGTTATTCGCCCAGCCATGCCACTATCTATTCGAATTTGTGCCGCTAGCGCGGGTCAGGTCTGCTGCACATTTCTTTTATGGCGTTGTTGATTTCTCTGTTAATCCCTTGCTCTAGCTCGCCTCCTTCTTCTGGCGGTGTACCGTCTTATCCTGCCGTGAACCACTGTGCACCGAGTCCCATGACAGCCACCATGTTGGTTGGTTGCCGTATGGAGGGGCGTAACTCGTGACATTTTCGTTTCGTTTTGCCGCTCTCTGAAGGTTACTCGGGGCGCCCGGGGTGAGCTCGTCGTTTGAACTTCACTTCTTCCTTCCTCCCCGTCCTCTCTCCTCCTCCCACCACCATGAGTCCGGAGCGATCGTGTGCTTTATGTAAACGGCTGGCAGCCGTCAGGGTTGCGCACACATTGCGTTTGTCCGAAGTGGCGGTGGCGGATCGGCATCGCGTTGGGCGCAGAGGCCCCTGGAGGGCACGGCGGACTTGATCATCGGGTCACTAGCACTGGGGGAAAATTGCAAACGTAGAAGTGATGACATGAGTTTGGCTTCTTGGAGGCATCCTTGGGTGACTTCGAAGCACGCTGGAGCCGCCTTGGAGGCATATCATGGCATCCTGGAGGCATAGTGGGCGTCATGTTGGCACAAGTTTGCCAACACTGCGCCATCTTGGAGGCCATCCTGGAGTATTCAGGGACATGCCGTGATTACGGTGAGAGCGAAGAGACCATCCAACCCCTGCGCGGATGGCCCGCTCCAGGCCCATGAGAGAGGGTATTTGGACTAGAGGGTAATTGGACTTGGAGGAAAAACACATCCCGAAAGAAGAACGGGGTTTTGGTGAAGAAGGGGATGTGACCCTCCGAGTCACCTACGCCCAGAGGGCTGGTATGATCCCGTTGGGGGACCACAGCAATCTAGAAGGCGTTGGGGCGGATATCACGCCCGCACCAACACGCCAACCCCGGCGCACAAACGCAGACAACATCTCCAGGTCTCTTGGCCAAGGTAGTTGTTTGGTTGGCTTCCCATGCCACAGATGCACGCCAGTTCGCAGGCACGCTCAAGCGCGCAAGCGCACATCCGAGAGAGGGACGATGTGTGAACCCATACGACCACACCCAATTCTAATGCGACGTTCCGGTTCAAGACTCGGACACGAGGAGCATCTTGTGTGTCTAAAGGTACTTGTTCTTCACGTCCAACATCGTAACCTGAGGCGTCTGTGCCATGGTCGTTTGCGTCCCCGTTGTGGCCCGCACGCATCAAGAAAGAATCGGTTGCGCCGATGGAGTGAATTCGGCATGCGTGGGGGTTCCTCCTCATCGCCATCGTCCCTGTCTCTCGTGTTCCACCCTCCCCTCCCTGCCCCTCGCAGGGTCCGTTTGGACCAGATCGATCCGGTTCGATGTCGATTCTGGCCGGACCGATCCGATTCGATTTCGATATCTCGATATTCTGATGACCCGATGCGGTCCGATTTTTGCCTGGCACTGTTGCGCATCCTGGCGCAGCCGTTCCGATTCGATTCGATCCCGTGCCGACGCAGTACGGTCCGATGCACACTTTTCGAGTCGATCTGATTCAACGGTCCGATGCCCACTGATCCTGCCCTGCGCCGCCATCCCATGGTTTCCTGCCTTGTGGCGGCAGAGGTTGCGGATGCCGACCTCGGAGGCCGCGCCGCGGTCGCGGAGGTGCAGAAGCCGGCGCTGAGGAGCAGGCACACGGCACACGGCCCAATGGTCGCCAGGAGCTTCTACGGCACCGTCGAGGAGATCGTTGGGGAGGGGGGGGCGAGGCTGGCCTTCTCGCCTCCCCCCTTTGGGGGCCCAAATAATATACACCACCACCACGTCGATTCCTCCTCTCCTCCTCTGTCCAGCGAGAGGGAAGGGGGGGGGAGGTGGTGGTGGTGTATATTTTTGTTGGCCCCCCACCCCTCATCCCTCCCCCCACCCCCCAAAGGCCCTTTTGAAGCCGAGGGAGGGGTGCTGGGAGGACGATGAAGGAGGGAACGGGGAAGCGGGGGAGGAGGAGAGCGGGACGGGAGGGGGGAAGTGAAACAGGCCAGGAGGAGGGGGGGGGGGCGGAGGAAGTAGGTGAATATGTAGAGATGCTCGGCTCCTCAAGTGGGGGAAGATGGTGGACCAACACGATGAGGACCCTCTCCGCTAGTCAGCCCGGCATGGGGCCCGAGCCATGCGTGGCATCAGCGTGCAGGGATTACGCCAGTCGAGTCAGCAGGGTGCGACGTCAGTTCACCGCCGCGCAACGAGGCCAGGATTGTAATCGAGCCCAGTGCGCCCGTCAACACATAATATCACACTTTTCCGCCAGCAGCGGAGCCCTACCGCTGGCAGCTGAGCAGTGCACGTTCAGCTCCTTGGATGGATGGACGGCGCGGTCTTGGCCCCATCAGTGGCATTGGTGATCTTTCGGGTTCAGAGACGCCTGGTCGCGCTCTAATGTTGTGCCTGGCCTGAATGGCAGGTACCAGACAGAAAGTGATGAAGGGAGGGGTGTTGACTTGGGTGGCGGGGAAGGGATCTCACGCGTGCTGTCCAGGCCGGCCCCAGGAGGTCATCAGACAGGCACACTTGTTCCTCACACGCACCTTCGCAGTTCTGAACGTGTCTCACGCGAGTCGGGTATGCCGCTAGACAGAAGCGCGTCTGGCTATGCGCATAGCAGACAGCAAGTGATGATGGGGTGTTCTGCGTTGCGGGTGGGACGGGGTCGGCCAAGCGTTGGATGGGCCTGCCGATGGCAGGCATCCAATTCTATATGTCAGATCCATCCTCACAGGAGCCACACGCAATAGTTTGAGGAGTCACGTTGCATGAAGCCATTCGGGAGAGTGCCGGGCCGTCACTTGGGGTGATGTCTCAGTTTTGGAAGGGTCCTACTCGGGCTCGGTAGATCCCATTGCTCCCTTGGTACCTGCACGACAAATCATCACCACTTGTTACACCTTGACTGCTCGTGCCGATCGTCATGGGAGCTGCTCGTTTCCTGAGGCCGACCGGATCACGCAGTGCCTCCATCAATATGGGCAGCGCAAGGAGTTTTCAAGTGATGTTGGAGAGGTGGAGCTCAAGTTTGATGCTCAGTTTGCTACGTATGCACGTTGCTCTATTTTGAGCAAGGCTATCCTCTCATGTCGTTCTGAATACGGCACGGCCGGTCAGCGCGCCTTGTTTCAATAGCGTTGGGGTCGCGAACTTGTTATGGACATCAGTAGGAATGCCAGTCAGCCTCATGAGAGGGGAGTGACGGAGGGGAAGGGGTGAGCGGGACGGAAGGGGAAGGGAGATGATGGTTGTCAAGTTTTGCGGTTCAGTTGTGAAGTTCCCCCGAGAGACAGACAGAAACCTTCGAGGCATCAGGAAACGTAATATCTATAGATATATTGCTTCCGCGCCTCCTCCTCCTCCTCTCCTCTCCCTCCCCCTCCCGCCTTCCTTCCCCTCCCCATCCTTTCCCTGTGCTGCCTTGGCGAACAAGCCGCAAACTGCCAGGAGGTCATGGCGGAGCTCCGCGCCGAACGCGAGAGGACCACCCAGGCCGCCCAGGCCGGCAGCATGCTGGTGGAGCGTAACGCGGCGCTGGAGAGTCAGATCCAGCAGCTGCAGGATCGTCCTTGTCAGGGATGCCCGAGGATCGAGGACGAATGCTTTTTGTGGCTGTGCTCTTGGATGCTCACTTCTTGAGAATCTGTATCAAGGACCGACGGAATATTCACGGAGCGTTCTCGATCGAGCGTTTGTTTTTTCTTCTTTGAAAGCGAGGTTCATGCTCGAGCGCGGGCTTCGTTGCGAATGCGAGTCCCTTGCTCCCGAATTGCCGCTCCGATGATTTCACGAGTGTTCGTTCTTGACTGCTCGCGTGTGATTCAAGGTGTCTATCCCGAACCCTCGATAACCCGCCCTTCTCGTCTTCGATCATAACCCCCCTTGTGAGTACATCCTCCTTACCTGCCACGTGTAGTTGGCGCAGCCCCTAAAACAGGGGAAGGGAGGGAGGAGGATAGGGACAATGGGGAGGGAAAAGGATGGAGTACGAGACAGACTTGCAAGGGGGGGTGAAGGGCAGGAGTACAAGCGGCAGAACCAGGCGGGCGGGTCGGGCGGGCGGACCCTGACGGGCGGAACGGGCGGGCGGGCCCAAACGGCCAGGTCGAGCGGGCGGGTCGATGAAACGTCAGTCCTGCATGAGTCGCGAGGGAGTTTCAAGCGATAGCGCGATTCCCAAGTACATCGGGAGAAAGTCCAGAGCGAGAGCGTGATTCCTGAGTGTCGAGAACGCGGCGTCTGGTTCAAAAGCGAAGGAATCCTACGCGAGAGCGCGATTCCTGGATACCTGGCAAGGAATTCCTGGCCGAGGGCGTATAAAGTGGGGACCGATGTTGTTGTAGTGCGGGGGCCAACAGCCCAGTCTGCGGCGCAATATTTTCTCGGGTCGACTACAGGGTGCGAGCCCCTCCTGGGGCTCGCACCCTGTTTTCTTTGTATAAGGGGAAAGATTGGGCCTCAGACTGCGTCGTTGGCCTCCACTTTACAACAACAGCGGCCTCCGCCCAATGCTTCTTCTGACTGTATTCAAACCTTGCTTGTGCGTGGGACTTCTCATCATTTATCACGGGTTCGCGCTCCCGCGTGGGACTTCACTTCCTCCCAACTTATTGAGGCGTCGCGTTCTCGATGCTCAGGAGTCACGCTCTCGCCCTCGACTTCTCCCGGCCGTCTGGGCCCGCCCGACCGACCCGTTCGGGTCCGCCAGCCCGACCCGCCCGTCTGGTTTTGCCGTTTGTTTTCTGGATCCCAACCCCCCTCCTGCTAATCTCTCCCGTACTCCATCCTTATCCCTCCCCCTGCCCCTTCCTTTCTCCTTCTCTTCCCGAACCCTTTTCCTCCTCGCTGTATGTTTCCTGGTCTCCATCTTCCTGTTTAGGGGTTGCGCCAACTAATTACACGTGGCAGATGAGGAAGATATACCCCCCAAGGGAGGTACGATCGAAGACAAAGAGCGCGGGTATCGAGGGTTTGGGATATACCTGTAAAGTCGCAGGCGAGCGTATGAGAGCGAACAGTTCTAACATGATGAGTTAATTCTCAAATAGTCATCGTTGATTCCCCCCGGTGCCCATTTGTGTGTTTACAAACACAGCGCTTCAGCCAGAGCTCGCACCCTGTTTTTAGAAGTGCAACTATTGCGCCTCTGGTTGTGCCCCTGGCCCCCTGTTTACCACAACGACGGCTCCCGCCTGATACCTCTTCACAACGTATTCAAAATCGCGCTCTCGCGCGGGACGCTCTCACAATCTATGTGGGAATCGCACTCTCGCGCTGCACTCCTTAGCAATGCATTGAAACGCCGCGCCTTCGACTCTCAGGAGTTGTGCTTTCGCCTGGGGCTTCCTCACGATTAACCGAGGGACCCGGGATCGCGCTATCGCTCGAAGCCTCCTCGGGGATCATGTCGGATTGATGCTTCAGCGAGACCTTCCCGCTCAACCCGGGCGTCTGGGCCCGCCCGCCCGACCCGCCCGTCAGGGTCCGCCGCCCGACCCGCCCGCTTGGTTCTGCCGCTTGTGCTCCTGCCCTTCCCCCCCCCCGCCACTGCAAACCTGCCTCGTGCCCCATCTTTCTCCCTCCTCCCTCCCTCCCTTCCCTCCTCCCTCCTCCCTCCCTTCCCTCCCTTCCCTCCTCCCTCTCCCTTGTCTCTTCCCTCCTCCAACCCTCCCCCCGTTTCAGGGGCTGCGCCAACCACGCGTGCGCTGTAGGGAAGACATGATCCGAAGAGGGCTGCGTTCGAACACGAATCGGGCGGGCATCGAGGGTTTGAGAGATTGCACATGTTGCAGGACAGGCGAGCAGGTCAGAGCGAGCAGTATTGGCATTAGTGTTGTTGTTGATGTTGCTGTTGTAGCTGATGGTGTTCATGCTGTTGTTGTTGTTGTTGTTGGTGTTGGTGTTGGTGTTGTTGTTGTTGTTGTTGTTGTTGTTGTTGTTGTTGTTGTTGTCGTTGCTGTTATTGTTGTTATTGTCTTTGCTGTTGTATTTGTTGTTGTTGTTGCTGTTGTTGTTGGTGTGTTGTTGTTGTTGTTGGTGTTGTTGTTGTTGTTGTTGTTGTTGTGGTTGTTGCTGTTGTTGATGTTGTTGTTGTTGTTGCTGTTGCTGTTGATGTTGCTGTTGCTGTTGTTGTTGTCGTTGTTTTGTTGTTTTGTTGTTTGTGTTGTTGTTGTTGTTGTTGTTGATGTTGTTGTTGTTGTTGTTGGTGTTGGTGTTGGTGTTGGTGTTGTTGTTGTTGTTGTTGTTGTTGTTGTTGTTGTTGTTGTTGTTGTTGTTGTGTTGAACTCTCATTCCTGATGAATGATTATTGTTGATCCCCCCTCACAGGTGCATAGTGTTTTTCTCAGTCAAAGTGGGCCTCTGCACGCGCGCACCCTGTTTTTTGACAGGGAAAGTCTTGATGCTCAAACTGTGCCCCTGGCCCCCGGGTTCCAACAACAACGGCTCCCGCCTGAGACGTCCTCGCGTTTTATTCAGGGATCGCGCTCTCGCTTGGGACCTCCTTCCAATTTATTAAGGAATCGCTCTCCCGGCGCTCTGGAGTCACGCTCTCGCAAGAGACTTGCTTGCAATTTACTGAAGAATAGCGCCCTTGCGTTGGAATTTCTTACAATTTACTCAAGCGCCGCGCTCCCGACACCCAGGCACACAGGAGTCGCGCTCACGCTTAGGACTCCCTCACAGATTACCTAGGGATCGGGATCTCGCTGCCCTTCGTGGCCCCGTTGCAGCCCCTCGTGGCCTCCTCGCTGCCCTTCGTGGCCCCGTTGCCGCCCTTCGTAGCCCCCTCGCTGCCCTTCGTGGCCCCGTTGCAGCCCTTCGTGGCCCCCTCGCTGCCCTTCGTGGCCCCGTTGCAGCCCTTCGTGGCCCTGGTCCAGCCCTTCGTGGCCCCCTCGCTGCCCTTCGCGGCCCCGTTGCAGCCCTTCGTGGCCCCCTCGCTGCCCTTCGTGGCCCCATATATGTATGCCCTTCGTGGCCCCCGCTCGTTCGCGCCCGTGGTGGCCCCATATGCATGCCCTTCGTGTTCGTGGCCCTGCTGTCGCCCTTCGTGGCCCCCTCGCTGCCTTTCGTGGCCCCGTTGCTGCCCTCAGAGGACCCGTCCTTGCCCTCCGCGGCCCAATATACATATGCCCGTCGTGGCCCCCGCTCGTTCGCGCCTGTTGTGGCCCCATGTGCATGCCCTTCGTGGCCCCGTTGTCGCCCTTTGTGGCCCCCTCACTGTCCTGCGTGGCCCAGTTGCTATCCTCAGTGGCCCCAGCGTTGCCTTCTGTGGCCCCGCATTATCTGCCCTTCGTGGCCGCCGATCGTTCGCGCTCTTCGTGGCCCCATACGCATTCCCTTCGTGTCCCCGCTGTCGCCCTTCGTGGCCTACTTCGTGTCCTTCGTGGCCCTGCTGTCGTTCTCTCTCGCTCTCGCTTTCGCTCGTCGTCGTCGTCGTCGTCGTCGTCGTCGCCGTCGTCTTCGACGTCGTCGTCGTCGTCGTCGTCGTCGTCGTCGTCGTGGTCGGTCCCCTGTCCGTCCCTCTTGGGGTCGGGTCGACGGTCCGCGGCCGCCCCGCCGATCAGCGCTGCCGCTGGCCAGGCCGACGGTCCGCGGCCGCCCCGCCGCTTGCCGGGGCCCGGCCTGCAGGGAAGAAAGGTATACCCCCCAAAAGGGGTTCGATCGAAGACGAAGAGGGCGGGTACCGAGGGTTTGGGAAATACGCGTTATTGGACACTCGAGCAAAGAAGGGCGAACAGCCTTATAATGATTGTTGTTGTTGTTGCTGCTGGTGTTATTGTTGTTGCTGTTGTTGTTGCTGTTGTTGTTGGTGTTGTTGTTGCTGTTGTTGTTGCTGTGTGTTGTGGTTGTTGTTGTTGTCGTTGTTGTTGTTGTTGTTGTTGTTGTGAATGTTGGTGTTGTCGTGTTTGTTGGTGTTGTTGGTGTTGTTGATGTTGGTTTTGCTGTCGATGTTGCTCTTATTGTTGGTGCTGCTGCTGTTGGTGTTTCTGTTGGTGTTGTTGTTGGTGGTGTTGTTGGTGTTGTGGTTGCTGTTGCTGTTGCTGGTGGTGGTGGTGTTGTTGTTGGCGTTGTTATTGCTGTCATTGCTGTTGTAGGTGTTTGTACTGTTGTTATTGTTGGTGTTGTTGCTGTTGCTGCTGTTGTTGTTGCTGGTGCTGTTGCTGCTGCTGTTGTTGTGGTTGTTGTTGTTGTTGTTGCTGATGTTGCTGATGTTGTTGTTGTTGTTGTTGTTGTTGGTGTTGTTGGTGTTGTTGTTGTTGTTGAACATTATTACTTCTAAAGAATAATTATTGTTGGGACCCCTGGTGCACGACCCCCCTCCAAAACCTAGGCCGCAGCTACATTTTCATCATTTTTTCGCGAAGGCTTCAGAAAAGTGGATTGGTACCGGATCCGGTTGTTTTGTTGTAATCCGTTTTCCCTTGCAAAAAACACTATAAAATGAAAATTCTTGTTCTTACTTGATCAAATTGCAAGAATCCCTTGCAAAAAATAAGGTAAAGTGGACATTCGTGCGCGCAAGACGAAATCCTTCCAAAACCTTAGGTTTCGTAACGATT